ATGGAGAGATCCTGGGCATGGAGAGATATGGGACATGGGGAGCAGATTCTGGGCAGGGAGAGATCCTGGGATGTGGAGAGATCCTGGACATGGAGAGATGCTGGGGCATGGAGAGCAGATCCTGGGCAGGGAGAAATCTTGAGCATGGAGAGATCCTGAGGGATGGAGAGATCCTGAGGGATGGAGGGATCCTGGGGCATAGAGGGATCCTGGGAATGGAGACATGCTGGGATGTGGAGAGATCCTGGGGCATGGAGAGGTCCTGGGGGATGGAGAGATCCTGGGCATGGAGGGATCCTGGGCATGGAGGGATCCTGGGAATAGAGACATGCTGGGATGTGGAGAGATCTTGGGGGATGGAGAGCAGATTCTGGACAACGAGAGATCCTGGGGCATGGAGGGATCCTGGGAATGGAGGGATCCTAGGGATGGAGAGCAGATCCTGGGCATGGAGGGATCCTGGGAGAGGGAGAGATCCTGGGAATGGAGAGATGCTGGGATGTGGAGAGATCCTGGGAGAGCGTGGAGAGATCCTGGGCATGGAGAGATCCTGGGAGATTGAGAGATCTTGGGATGTGGAGAGCAGATTCTGGACAACGAGAGATCCTGGGGCATCGAGAGATCCTGGGAGAGCATGGAGAGATCCTGGACATGGAGAGATCTTGAGGGATGGAGAGCAGATTCTGGACAATGAGAGGTTCTGGGAATGGAGAGATCCTGAGGGATGGAGAACTCCTGGACATGGAGAGCAGCTCCTGGGATGTGGAGAGCAGTTCCTGGGGATCTGCAGAGCTCCTGGACATGCGGAGCTCCTGTCCTGTCTCAAAGGAGCCCAGAGACCAAGCCCTTTGAAAATGCTGAAATTTTCTTATTTCCTGCTGTGCTCTGCTCTGCTCTGCCTCTGCCTGTGCAGGATCAGCCTGAAGAAAGGCCTGTCCATCCGGGACCAGATGAGGGCAGCTGGGGTGCTGGATGATTTCCTGAAGCACATCAAATACGATTCGGTGAAGAAATACCAGCCCAGCCAGGGGGCTGTGGTGAGGGAGCCCATAGCCAACCACCTGGATGTGAGTGCCCTCCTGCCCGTCCTTCCTGCTGCCTCCAGCACCCCTGAACCTCCAGCAGTNTGTTTTCTCATCGTCTCTCCGTGCGACGCTGCTCGAGTGGAGGATCATTAATGAATGATTGTTAATGAACCCCATTTCCTAATTGCAGCCCCTGGGAAGGCTGCATTGACTCTTCCTGGGAATTGTGTCTTTTCCCCAGGCTTGGCTGGTCTGGAAGTGCCGCTCAGAGGCAGCAGAACAGGTTTGGGTTCCTGTGCTGGAGGTGGATTCATTCCTGAGAGCCCCGGCAGCTTTGAAGTTGGCAATTACAGGCCAGGAGATGGAAAAAGCTCCTTGTAAAGATGGGATCTCGTTTGTTTTCCCTTCCCTGAGTGAATGGGATTTTTCCAGGTGCTTCAGTGTCACCTCCAGCTCCTGCTGTCATTGTCACCTGTGCTGGTGCCGCTGAACATTTCTATGCGGCAGAGAAGCAAAGGTGCTCTGTGCAATTGCTCCTTTGGGCCATTCCCAGGGAAATCCAGGCTGAGCCTCTCTGAGGAGCAGCTCTGTGTCCTGAGGAGGCTCCTGAGGTGTGGAACTGCACAGAATGAATGCAGTGGGGTGGTTGTCCCTGCTGGGAGACCTTTCCAGGACAATTCCTGGTGCTGCTTCCCCTCCAAAATCCCTCTCAAGCTCCCTTAGAGCCCCCTTTAGGTTTTGGTCATCAAGAAGTGGCTGATCCTCACCTGGTTTGGGAATTTAAATGCCAGACCTGGAGCCCAACCATGTATTTACACTTTACTTACCCGTCTTTTGCTCACAGGAAAAAGAGGAATCTTTATTTGGATGTGAGGGAAGCTGTTCCCGTGTGCTGTGACCTCTGTTTTGGAAACAAAGCACCAAAAGCAGCTCGTGAAGGATCCCAAGTGCTTGTGTGGGTTCATAAACACAGCTGCTCTGGGGGCAGAGAATGCCAGACGGGTTTGGGTTGGAAGAAAATTAAAAATTATTAAAAATTAAAAATCCACCCTTGGCATGGCAGGGACACCTCCCACTGTCCCAGATTGCTCCAAACCCCATCCAGCCTGGCCTGGGACAATTCCAGGGATCCAGGGGCAGCCACCAGCCCCTTCCACCCTCACAGGGAAAAATTCCTTCCAATATCCAAGCTGAATTTCCTCTCTTTCAGCCTGAACCCCTTCCCCCTTGTCTCTCTCTCCAGTTCCTGGTGAGCAGCCCCCTTCCAGCTCCTTGCAGACCCTCCAGGTCCTGGAAGGGGCCGTGAGGAATCCCCAGAACCTCCCCTGCTCCATCTCCCATGGGTTTGGGTGCTGCAGAATCCCAGGAAATCTCCTGGTGGAGAGGTGGAACTCCCTGAGCTGGAGCTGGGCCACCAAGGCAACGCTGAAGAGAAACTGAAAGCAAAGCAGAGGGAATGCCCAGAGCCTGGCCCCGAGGGAAATGTGGGTGTGAGATCCCTGCTCTGTGTGGGATCACC